AAAACACGTCATTGCATTCTTAGTGAAGAGTTTAACCATATAAGGTGTGTGAAATAAAAATAATTAAATAATCATTGTATTTACAGAAGACTATTATATCTACAGAGGCAATAACTGTAGAAGATAATGAGTTAAATATGTTTTAAAGTTTACAAAATAACTATCGGTCCAGGCTTTCAATGAGTACCTGGTTGGAACACGAAGAAACTTAAACATTAGTGAATTGTCTGCATACTTTGCCAAGAAAGAATGATTAACACCTTTTCAAACTGTGTTTTTAATTAAACATATCTTAGTAAAAAAATTAACTTCTTACAGTTTTCATAGAACAACAAAATGTTTCTCATCCAAATGTCAAACACACAGTTTTTTTTAGGATTCTGCTGACTGTAATTTGGTTAATGAAATAGAAATTGACAAATAACATAAATATATTGGTATCAAAAGGAAAACATGTTTTAATACAAGCTAAGTCTATTTGCTACGGCTTTTAGTTTTTAAGCCATCTTATAATTACGATTTGGGCCTTTTTTAATTATATTTTGAGTATAATAACTACATAAATGGTATAATCTACACCATTTTATGAGTGTAGTAAAGCTAATCTGCATTACCACTATGCTTTGGTACTCTCTGCAGGTTCTCAAATACAAAAGGTACTATTATTTTATGTGTTAATATAACTAGTTCCAAATTATAGGATAAATGTAACACGAAGAAAATTACATTTTAAAAACGTGAATTTCAAAAACATTTAATTTTTGCAAGGAAAATCAATCTGTAAATCACAAAACTTACTTCTGTTACTGTAAAATAAACTAAGATTAAAAGATTTTCCAAAGGTTACAACATTTTCCCACTCACGCCTCTGAAAGTCCACAGACGGCGGATCGTTAAACTGGTAATGACTTCCGGTCAGAGGAAACTCTCAGACTCAACTGGACGTCTCGTCTCAAAATATTTATGAAGTGTAATTTATTTTATCAAACTAATTGACTTTAATTGCTATAAAGTGTGTCCACTTTACTGTAGTTGTTGTAGTGTTGCTGGTGGCAGGTGATGGGAGATTGTTACTAATTCGTTCTCTATGTCTAACTAAAAGAATATCAAAACAATAGTCTCGAATTAGAATAATATTAATAAAACACTATTCAATTATAATAGATGACAAATATTTAAAAACACATGTCGTAGCGGCAAAGAATATTATACAAAATGACAGAAATTATACAATGCAAACTGAATTATTATGCAATGTTGTTAATGATTAAAATAACTTATTATTTTAATCAATAACAATGATACATTAATATTGCGAAAATAAATTTTCTTTAACGACTACTTTACTTTAAACATGATTTATTTCGACGAGATTTATAATAGGTCTCAGTAGATCTCAATTCTCAGCTAATTTCCAACCATAAATAAAATATGAACAACAACCTTAATTTAGTTTCTGCTTTTTGCTTCAATTTCTATTTAAGTTTTTGTAAAATAAATGAATTTTAATTTTGTTTGAAAATTATGTCATTAGTGTGACGCAAACACAATCCATTTTAGTCTAGTTTACTCTATGAATTTACCTAATTAAAATAAGGTAGCCTTTTTAAAATGTGATTAGCTTCAGGAAGAGAGATTGTATTTCTTAATAATAAAAATAAACGAATTTATAAGAAGTAAACGAATAAATAACCATAATTTACAGCGAAAAGGTCTCTTGGCTTCAATCAACAGTGTTTAATTACAGCTAAAAGGCTGTCGATGTTGTTAAGACCACAACGCTTTCCCTCTCAAGCTGTAATTATACTTTCTTTAACTGAGTCTCATAAAATGTTTAAGAAACGATGTTTTATGTTTGAATTATTTGATTTAATATTGCAGATCTTTGAAATATCAAATTGGTATTTTTGAGAAGAGGGCCGCCACTTTTTAAACTGTGGAATAATCACAGTTTAGTTTTGGTTAGGTTAGTTTATATTCGCCCTTACCGATGTCGTATCATAGTGTTTAGTTAAATTTAAAAAAAATATACTAATGGCTTCTGCTAGAATAAGCTCAATGTTTATTGTAAGAAATATTTGTAATATTTTAGAGTTGTGTTATGTTACTAGAAACTTGTTCGACTTCTTCAACTAAACACTTGTTGAGTATATGAACTACTCGTCAGTTTGTTAAAATGGTTTTCAGATATTCTTTACGTACAAAATGTGCGTAGTAATACAATTAAGTGCTGTAGAGCACACTACGTTATAAACCATTGCAACGAAGCATGAACTCGAAAGGGAGTGTTGTCTGAAGCCCAGAGAAGTACGTGTTCCTCACACACTTCAGTAAATCTTTACAGGCAACTTCTGGAATGCAATAATGAGAAAGAAGCATGATATAGCTTATTGAAATAGCCATTATTGAAATGCAGAAATGACTCCTCAAGCAGACAGTATACATGTTTTGTTGGCTCTGTCGTTCATTAGTTTTTATTTACACTAAATTAAGATGAAAAGACTGTGAAGAAAATGTTGTATTAATATGCAAAAACGCTTGATTATGATAAAATGTGGTCGTACAATTTTTTTAACATAATCAGTCAGTATTATATGATATTAAGATATTATATATTAATTTATTTGTAGTGGGAAACATATCCATCAAAGATTATAAGTATTGATGATTTATAGTTTATACAAATTAAGCTCTACTGAGTAATAGCCGGTCTCCTGGTGCTAGTTTACTTAATGCTGGTATTATTAGTAATTATTTGCCGATAATACCGTTTTTGTGTTTGTTATGAAGAAAAGTCCGGTTGCCCTTAAAGCCTAACCCTCTTTAAATTCATAATGATTTTTAGTGACTAATATTTGTATGTTCTTTTTAAATATAGGCTGTAAAGAGGTATCATCATGTTCATAAGTCATTAAAATAGTTTTGTAAACATTTCATCAATAAATCACTGAATAGTGTTAGGAAGGTTGCAAGAGTCTTATATCTTATGTCAATCAAAAATAAAACATTATTTTTCTCAACTTTTGCATGGACAAATGTAAAATTCTCTAGGTATGGTATGGTGCATGGACAAATGTAAAATTCCCTAGGTATAGTATGGTGACTTACGAAGAAAAACTATTTTCATTTTATCATATTTTGAGTCTACAGTAGATAATTTGTCACATTATGTAACTTTTAAAGTCGTTTAAAAGATACATTAACCGTATTAGTACAGTAACAAACATTTATCTTGCATGAAGACAAATAATTGTCTCACACAAAGGAAGTTTGAACAATAGAACTTCGGTCTTGTTTGGTTTGGAAAATTCAAGTGAGGCTCTAGTGTTTGTGTGGAAACAGTGTTTCCTCTTTTGCTGACATTACATACATTAAATTAATAATCGTAGAGTTATTTTTCAAAATTAAAAGTTAGTTAAACAATTTAATCGATTATTTTTTCTCTCTCTCTATTTGAAATATAAGAATAATAGTTTAAACTCTTAAAGCTAATTTTGTAAATAAAAAAACCTTTAAGTATCTTTTGCCCACTAAACATAACCCTCTCTTTAAATAACACACACAAATTTCCACAAATATATAACACCTACAGCGTCATTTTTAAAGAAAGTAAATAAAGATACGTCTTATAACACTTAAAACATATATTTACGCTTATACTGTTACTCACAAGACGGTAAATATACAAAAGATGGTAAGTGGTTACCATCTTACCATCTTTTGTATATTTAACGTCTTGCTAGTAACAGTATAAGCGTAAATATATGTTTTAAGTGTTATAAGACGTATCTTTATTTACTTTCCGTAAATTTAATAACAAGTACAATGCTGATCAAGAAGTTATTTATTTTTAAACCACTCTCTTTTACTTTGTTAGTTCTAAAACTTATGATAATAACATTACAACTTGGAAGCCAGTGTGGCAATGACCTAGAAGAGTATCAAAATAAATTAGGAGTATGTCCGTGATGTAATTTATTGGATCTATTCCTTTAGCTCAATGAGTCCAATATGTCCAGTGATATACGGACAACCTTTCACATTTATAATATAAGTAAGAAAATGTGTACACGTAAATTATTTATATATAAATTAATAATTATTTATAAGATGCATTTACATTTAAGTAATATACGCTATCTAAATGAGAAAAAATGCTTTTGCTTTTAAATTTTATTATGATGTCCCAATATTCATGATAGTACACTATTTTTAATTTTACAAACTATCTAACTGAAGTATTAGCTATTATAGAGTTTACAGTTTTGTTTAGTACTATAAAACTTCATAATTCTTATCTGCAAATAACTTGAAGTAATATTAGCCTGAAGTTATGTGTAAAACCGTTCCGGGCTAGCGTCCTAAAAGAAGATCTGACGAAGGGACTACAAACATCAGAAAGGACTACAATAAACATGTTTAATATTATAGTTATACCTAACTGGTTTTTTCCAGATTAATTTAATAAATACTTTGTCACTTGGGCATCATTACGATCAAAACTTGAAATTAGATGAAGAGGGAGGTAGTATAAAAGCACAATTATTAAATTTTCAACTTAAAAAGAGTATTGTATGGCATAATTACACTGCACTACTCAACTATTGATGTTTACAGATGAGTACATTTAATAGCTATTTAAACCCACTATATTTATAAAAAGGCTAATAAATGTGCATAGTTTGATTCGGAGATAAACTGCAAGATTTTCTGCTTATAGGAGTGTTAAATAACTTCTTTAAATATTTTTTTAATAATCAAAATACAACATTACACAAACAAAATAAACACAACACTACCGCAACAATATATCGGGTATCCAACAATCTATGAGTACGCAAAACACGCATACAAAATAACTAACCGTATCTAAAGACCGTAGTGGTGGGGAGGCCGGAACCGGTTACATTACAAAGGCCAACATAGAGTTATGTGACTGAAGATGTATAAAACCCACCAGACTCTAGGTACCAGACACACTCGTCTGTAGACATCAGCAGAGATGAAGCGTCTTCTAGTCTTGTTGTTGGTGACTGCTGTCTTCGCCGAGGAGAATAAGATAGAAGAGAAGAAAGAGAACAAGAAGCATGACAAGAGAGGAATAGAAGACTTCGGTGGACACGAGTTCAGTGGTGGAGACTTTGGTGGACACGATTTTGGAGATCATGGTTTTGGGGGACATGACTTTGGGGGCCATGACTTCGGGGGCCATGACTTTAGTAATCATCACCACCACGAGGTGAAGACCATCACGATAGAGAAGGAGGTGAAGGTGCCGTACCCGGTCCACGTGGAGAAGAAGGTACCGTACCCTGTCAAGGTGCACGTCGAGAGGCCGGTCCCCTACCCTGTGGAGAAACCTTATCCGGTGACTGTGGAGAAGGATGTGCCTTACCCGGTCAAGGAGTACATTCCTAAACCTTACCCTGTCGAGAAGAAGATACCCTACCCTGTGAAGGTGCATGTAGAGAGGCCAGTTCCCGTGCATATCCCCAAACCTTACCCCGTCTACGTAGAGAAGAAGGTGCCTTACCCTGTAGAGAAACACATCCCTTACCCGGTAAAGGTGCATGTCCACCGGCCTGTCCCCTATCACGTTCCTGTTGTAAAACACGTGCCTTATCCCGTCGAGAAGAAGGTTCCTTATCCCGTCAAAGTGCCAGTTGAGAAGCCAGTCCCCTACCCTGTGGAGAAGCCTTACCCCGTCTACGTAGAGAAGAAAGTTCCCTACCCGGTGGAGAAGGAGGTGCCGTATCCAGTCAAGGTTCCGGTTCACATCCCGGTCCATGTTCACGATCACAAGCATGAGGAACATCATTTTGGAGAACATGATTTTACAGGACAGGGACATGGCCACAAAAGTTTTCACTTTGGAGGCTATGAACTATAAATAGTATTGAAGACATTGTAAATAATGAAAATGTAATCACATATTTTGTACAGTTTGTATATATTAAATTGCCTTTAGGAATTAATTAATAAAATTTCACTCTTGATAACTGGTGTAATAAATTGAGTTACCGAATATCCTCCAATTACCTATTGTACTCTACGCGTCTTACAGCGGTGCCCAAAATACAGCAGACTGTGAATAGATGTACAGCAAATGTTTAGGTAAATATATTTTTAATCTCCCTATCATAATATACACAGATGATTTTTCATAACGCCGGTCTTAATTTATTTATCTGTAATCAATCAATCACTAAGGTCAAACTATAAATTAGTTACGCAGTTTGCATCCTAGAGAAAGATATGTGTAATATTTCAGTTAAATGTTCAAAGCAAGTGGGTAATAGACACACTAGAGTTTTTTTTTATATAAAAACTATTCAAAAGTAAACATTCACCTTGAGTTGTTTGCTCATCCATGTTGCATCATATCACTACTGGAACACTTTGTGGAATGTTGAAGTTTAACTTTTTTTCTTTTCCAGGAACATTTGCTAATGATCATTCCATGTTTTTGTTGTTGACGAAGTTATTTAAACCTACATTTGCGATTGTCAGAATCGAGCACAATAAGTTTACTTTTTATGTGATACTAGGCCTCATAGACATTTTATAATTTCTCTTGGAGATCATCACTTATGAGAACATCACTTTGTAGGACATCAGTTTCAAGGAGAGGAGCACGGACATGAAATCTCGCACTTTGATGGCTACAAACTATAAATAGATTTTGACATTGTACAATTTGTACATATTTGTTGAGTGTTTGGATAGAAACTATACATAAAATACTCTCAACTAATTCATTATATTTTTTCAACAAAAATAACATGGATTCATAAAACTCAATCCACATTCACAGAATAAACACTTTCCCTTTCATTTTTTAAAATTTCATTTTCTGACAACATGAAATATGTTATACCTATCTGCTGGCTTTCCATTCCCATTAAACGTCAAGATTCAGGAAACATTTTACAAACAATATTCTTTTCCTACAGTTACCTAACAATGTACATGTTCTCTCGCTGATTTAAGAAAGCAAAGTGGCTAATTCGCTCATCAGTGAGACAATTTTAACATTGTCTCACTCTAATTACTTTGTCTCACTCCAGATTTGCAACGTGAAGGCACGAAATAGTGAGCGCGTAACATGCAGCCAAGGTCGTATGCGTGCGAAATACGTTGGCAGCACTGGCTGTAAATCACCTGGTCAGCTGTTTTACTGTTGTATCATTAAATGTCATATTATAAGTTCACTTCTGTGTAAAAATATGCTATTTTTTTTACCAATTTATTTGTTTTATGGTAACTGTAGGAAAAATATAATGTGCAAGTCGAGTGCAAAGTGCAATTGCCTCACTCGAAAAAACCATTACTCACTCGCCTACGGCTCGTGAGTAAGTATTTCTCTCGAGTGAGTAAATTGCTCACTTTGCTCACTAGTTGCACAAATAACTATAGTTCAGATTCTTACTTGATTTAAAATGGTTTGTAGTTACCAAAGTGTTTAGTTAAAGAAACGACTTAGTGGCTTGGAACTCTGCTTTTGATCTATTTGTTTGGTAAACGACAAATAGATATGTTTCTTAGGCGAATGTCTTTATCTGAACTTGAGAACTCCGTCTAATAAATTAATACTCTTAGAGAAATTTAATGTTGAATACATTTTGCCGCTTTTATTTTATTCGAAATAAACTATTTTAAAATAACTAAATGTTTTTAGGTAGTTTAAATTTTGATGTTGTGATGTAATTAAAAGATAAACCACGGCCGTCTGAATGCTATTCCACAGTTTCATAGTTGGATACAAACATATTAAACTCATGTATATACAGTACTAAGATAATATCATCCAATGTTTTCTTAGTTAATTATCGATGAGGAGGTAGACCGCAGCTATTATTATTATGATTGTCCAAATTTTAATATTAGTAATGATGTAAATTATGTTTTTTTTTCTTACGATACCACTAACTAATATTATAATCCTATAAATTCATATATATATATATATATATATATATATATATATATATATATATATATATATACAGTACCATATATGCTCATTACTACGCATAGTGTAATATTTGCGGCCACAAAGTATTAAATTAAAATTAATATTTAACATGGTAAAAAATGTGAAATAAAAATTCACAATACTAATTATTGTGTGTACAACTTCATTGTATTGTACAACTTTTCAAAATTTTGTTCGAAAATTATTTATTTTCAAGCTTCAAAAATGCGAACTACCGAATCTGTTTTAGGTAAACACTTTATTCATCTGACATTTAAAGGAACATATGCGAGGTATTACAATTGTTCAAAGTAAAAGAGTAAAAAGAATTGCTCGAGTATTTAAATATAAAAACCATGCTAAAGTAAACATTTTGCACGAGGAGTTTGCTCATCCATGCTGCATCATATCACAACCAGAGCGTATGACTGTGTATCTCGACTGAATGTCAGACTTTTTTGTAAAGTTTAACTTAACTTTTCTTCCAAATAAATTATGGTTGTGTTGCCTTTGTTGCTACACATCAAACTGATTGGCCTTTCTTCCTAACATCGTAAATACCTCAATAATTAGATTTAAAAAGTTAATACCGGTTGAATTTTATTCACATTTGTATTATACTGCAATGAGGCATAATTGCTAACTAGATAACTTGTTGCTCGAAATTGAGCAAAACTGCAAGCTGTAATAAAAGAATAAACAACAAAAACATAAACAGCAAGACCGCAATCAAAGAGTAACTCTAAAGTAATTTCTGACTGATTATAGAAATTTGGAAAATATTTTGTTGTAAAAAAATTATAAAAAATAGTCTACAATATTTAAATATAGATCCGCACTTATAATGCTTTAATTATCTCTTATCCCGGTGGCGGGTGCCCTCTATTAGAACGTGAGCAAATGCTTGTGTCAACCACACACTGTAAAGTGGGCTTTTTAGACTTGTTGTAGCAAGCTAAATCCCTCTCTTGACGCCAACCAGTGCGACACGTACTACAGCATTGTTAAACTATTTGTGCTATATGTTATGTTTTAGGCGTGTTCAAATTAGGGGCACCAACCAAAGGCGAAAGTGAAAACTACAATAATTTAACTCGTTGTTCATAATACTAATAACATGCATAATAGCATAACTCCTTTAGTTAGGCAAGACTTATGCAATATTTTTAGGAAAGTCTACTGGTTAGAAGAGTACATGGGTGGTTATTATAACGTAGCATAATAGCTTGATGAAATGCTCATAGAAACTTACCTCAGTCCCATTATTCCAGCTTAATACCCTGCCTTAACGGCCTAAGTTGACTTAGTGGACTGATTCAATGTCTGCTAAATTACAATAATTTTGATATGATTTAAGTGGTAAATGCAAAATTAACTGAGTTTAATATCCTAGCTTTGTAAAAGTAATGATTTTGCTTCTTTCTATTGCCTTGTTTTTTATGAACAATCAACATTAAGATAAGCACTAAAATATTCTAAGAAAAAACCAAAGGCAGCTTAAAACCATACAAAATTCCAAAAGCTGTGTCCAAGAGGGAAGCTTCTGGAATGATTCCAACATGGAATAACTCCGAGAATCAGACGGTTTACTCTAGCATCCCGAGTGGTTTGGGCAGTCTGGATATTATCAATATCTGCAGCTTATTCTAACTCTACAATAGTGGAACCTCAGTAACACGACCCTCGATAACAAGTCACCCATAATAACAAGTCTCATTTCAAACCCCCCTGATTAAACGTACGTACATAAAAAAAAGACGTACATAAGAAACTTGTTATTCAGGTTCTACGGACTTCTTTTAGGATAGGGGGATAACTTCTTCTGTTTTATATTATGGTGTATCAATCATCAAATACTCTTACGCCAGACCTAATAGTTAAATACCCCAGCAAGAGCAAACCTGCAGACTAAGCCAATTGTTATTTGTAAAATATGGTTTTTACTTAAATGTTACCAAAAAGGTCATATCTTTACCCTTATAAATTAAATAAGATTTTACGTGTATTTCGGACTGTATTTTATGTATGTGGACTGGAGAAGGGAATAGTGTTACTTTTTATCAAACATCAAAAAAGTAGCATAAGGTAAATAAAGAAATTTGTCAAATTTGTCAAGCAAAGATGACTAGTAGGATAAAATGTTCTAATAGTAAACGTTAGTAGTCCAAACATGTTTTGAACGTTGTAAGATAATTAGAAACGGCTCTCTAACACACGCTGCCAATAACAAATTGCCTCCTTTGAGACAGCGGCTTAGCTTTTGGGCTGCGACAAAGAGATTACGAACAATACAAGTTTGGTTATGTTTGGATTGGAACAGTATTCAATTACTATTTTTCAACTAATCAATAATATTACATCTGCTTGGACATATGAATGTAAACAAATTTAATAACTGTAAAATTTTACATAATTACGAACATAAATTGCTGTTAACTTTGGTGAGATTCTAATAATATCTTTGAGAATTGTTTGTATAATGCTAATTTCTGTATTATCAAAACATTTCCTCCTAATTAAATAATAACTAGAGGTCGTCCCGTGGTCAAAAACTCGACCAAAAATATATAATGTTCAGACTTCTCTATTGTCACCCCACGCTGTAAATAAAACATGTGATTGGAATTTCTTCCATTTTTTTTTATTTTCTGTTTATGTTTCGTTGCCAGCATAGCAACCCATAAGGCCCACTTATTTTTTTTTTAATTTTAAATTCATTATTTGCGCTTATTTGAGAGCCTATTTTAATTTATAAATGGAATCAGCGCACCTACAGGTAAATATCTTTCTAACAGTATGCGTAGATTTTCCCTACGATGCACACGAGCTGAGAAAAAAGGTTTTAAAGAAACATGCTTGCCTATTAATATATAGATGGTAGTTTAATGTTCACTAACCTCACGTTACGGAAA